CAAAGAATCACTTTAGAGTAGACGTCCCACCTCTGAGCTCTTCTAAAGAGCCACAGAATCTCCACCCTTGCTGATGACTGCTATGTCCTCGATGCCCTAAAGTGAAGCCGTTTTACTTCCGACTCGACTTCGCATTTGCACGCTCTGTTACGATCTATCTCGGTAGACTTGTTTCGGGTGTCGGTGCGATGGTCCAGGGAGTGGTGATGATCTTTACCTTGTCATGATGTCTTGACTTCGGTCGGTCGGACTTGGTGGGTGTCGAGGAGGTCTGAAAGGTGTCCCCTCTTCTACACTTTAATGTTGGTGTACAAGAGTATGGAGTTGCTCAATCTTGTTTTCCTTTGCGAATTCTTAGCATAGCCAAATGATACCCAATTCTTCGTTAAACCATATCTACTTCTGCTCGTAGCAGTGATATCTGTACACCTGAATATTCCCTCTGAAAATAGTACGATTAAGCGCTCTCGATTGCACAGTGAAAGCGAACAGACGAATGGATCTGTTTGGACCAGTCCTGCACTTTCCCCACGTGATGGCCATCTGTTATGACGAGTGGTCAATTCCCCTGTGACTGGTTCTGTACTAGTACCTATGTATCTTAACTATAACCATGGCCTAACGCCAACATCAACCATATCGAGAACCTTGTGGATTCCTCTTCAGCTTTTCAGGTAACTCCACAGAATAACAACACGGCCCAATATTGTTATGGCTGTTGCTCTGTCTTACCTTGAGTCCTTCGCAGAAGGTATAGATTCAAGCAAATCAACGCGTGTAAAGGGTGCTCTCGAAGGTTTCGCTGAACATAGGCTAATAGGATTAAACTTCGCAATATCATGAAAATTATGATTTAACTATGATGCTTTTTGACACGCTAGATTTCTCCGATACTCTTTTGTAATGAAGTACATTGCCGAACATGCGAGGATTTGAGTGAGTAGTAATCAATGTCGGTCTGCGGCAGTCGGCATTTGTAGCTTTTTAGAGGACGGGAATCTTTTCCATCAATGATCATATCGTAGATAAAGTAAGTGCCTGCTATTGGCCATCATCATAGGACAGGCGGTAGAAACGATGATACGGGTTCGATCTTCCGAACTTACTTGGTAGAGTATATTCCGAAAGTATATAGCCCTTCCAGGAAACCGGTGTACTATCATGTGATAGCGCTCAATCTCACCGATATTCTCCGGCCCAACATTCTGGATTTATCTACTATCATAAGGACAGTTGGAACTCGCAATGTAGGCCAGCACAGTACAGCACCGTCATGGCCATCTCAGTGGAAGATGTCACCAAAGTACCCTTCTACAATTTCCATGACCCTATTCCATCACCACCACCACCCTCCTTAACACGTAAACTTCCAACTTTCAAAACAACACTCCCTAGTCTCTACTCATCTACTATACTCCTAGAATATCCAGAGCCAGTTGCAGTTCCAGCTCCACCACCACCACCAAAACCAAACCTCTTCTTAACTCTTCCCCCGGAACTCCGTCTCCTCATCTACACCCACCTCCTAACCAACCAGCACCACCACCGCCGAACCCTCTCCGCTGCCAACAACATCGCCAACAACCGACCACAACTCCCAACCCTGAACCCAATCCACCTCTACACCCACCACCACCACAACAAAACCAACGACCTCCACCCCTCAATCCTCCTAACCTGCAAACAAATCCACGCCGAAGCCCTCTCCATCCTCTACACCCAAAACACCTTCTCAACAACGCACCCAACCCAACTCCACCACCACCTCACCTCCATCGGACCGCTCAACACCTCCCTCCTCCGCTCCCTCCACATCTTCGTTCCCTGGAGTAACTCCAGCTCTACCATCTGGTCGTGGATCGTCCTCCTCCACAACCTCTCCGAGCACGCGATCGGTCTAAGATATCTCGAGATAGGATGGGACACGAACATTCCCTGGCTCACGCACATGGAACCAGGCGATGAGGCGAGAGGCCTCGGGGATAACATTCTCTTTGTGCATGCGTTGGCTAGGTTGAGGCAGTTGCGGAGGTTGAGGATTTATGGGTTCTTTGGGGTGGAGTGGCCGGCGTATTTGAGGAGGGAGTTGGGAGGTGGGGGGACGGTCGTGGAGGTTGAGTGTGGGTTGGTTAGGTCGGTGGTGTTGGAAGAGGTTGAGGAGGAAGACGAGGTGGGTAGTGGTAGTAGTAGGGGCAGGGGGGCTTTGGAGAAGGCTAGGGTGGAGTGGGAGGAGAATTTGAAGGCTTTCAGGTTGTTTCAGAGGGGCACGGTGGGGGTTGTGCCGTAGGGAGGGGTTTATTTGTTGTGTAAGTTGGGGAGGTTGATATAGTACTAGGTAGTAATGTTTAATTTAATAGATTGGAGATAATCATGGTATGCTGTGATGATGAAGGCTTGACTGTATGTAAGTGATCTAGATGGATACATAGCGGTATAGTATAGAGTGGGGCGCCGTTTCCCGGCCCCACAGATGCCCCTGCAGGTTGTACCTTGAACAAAGTATAAAAAGAACAGTTGTATAGTGTGTGTGTGGAGTATGCTTTTATGCATTGGCATTAGGCTTGGTTTTCACATCCTTGTTCATTCCTGATTTTACATACAACTGATATATGTAGTTGTCTAATATGTGCTGTTCATCATTCGAAGCTGACTTAGTAGTTACTATCATTCTGTGGATATCAATAGTTATATCATCAAAGCTGGGATAATCATGCAGGCAACTGCTGGTATTATCATCACTACATGTATCATCATAACGGCTCATTTACTATCGGAATTCCCCTTGTTCTCGGGGTTATTCCCATTCGCAGCCCCGGCATTGCCGCCACTGTTTCCTCCGCCGCCGCCGCCGCCTCCCTTGGGGCCTCCTTTACCCTTGGACCCTCGTCCTCCGCGTGGTCCGCGAGACGAGTTGCCCCCTGAGCCGCTTTCATTGGTCTTATTTCCCCGGCTGTTGTTACCACCACCACCACCACCGCCGCCGCCGCCGCCTCCGCCTCCGCCTCCCGAGGATGCTTGGGCTTCACCACGGCCTTTGCCGCGACCCTTCTCTCCACCGGGGTTGGCCTTTCTCTCTAGAACAACAACTTGACTCTGCGCCACTGAGACAGGACTAGCAGCGATGGCTTTTTGAAGGCCGTCAGGTTCTGCAAAGTCAATGTAACCGAATCCCTTCTTCTTATCGATTTCCACTTTAAGAACCTTTCCGAACGGGGCGAATGCCGCTTCGAGGAGAGGCTCGGTAACGCCTTGAGATGGATTGGCGTGCTTAAGGAATGCTTGGGTAGCGGTCGCCGCCGGTCCTGCCGATGCTTGCTTCCCCTTCCCAGACTTTGCCGGCTTAGGTGTAGTACTGACTGGGGTGCTCGCTTCGGATGGCTCACTGGGTGGTTGGGTGTTGCTGCCCTTTGACTTGTCCCGATTCGCCCCCTTAGATGGTCTGGACGGTGTCTCCTTTTTGTTCGTATCCGGGGTCGCAGTACCGCTCTGATCGGATTTGGGCGTATCTCCATCGGCGGCAGCGGCTTTGCCCCTGCGGCGACCGGACGGTGCGAGTCCAAGGTCGCGCTGGAGGATCTTGGCAGCAGCCGCGACACTTCCACGTTCGCGTTTCCGCTCTGTAGATGTCTGTGGCGTATCCTTGGGGGAGTTCTGCGCTGGTGACGATTTGGCGGCTTGCTTGGCAGCAACACTAGCAGCCTGCTTGTTAGCGGCCTTCACCGCTTCCTTGGTAGCCTTGTCCGACTTGGACTTCTTCTCTGGTTTCTCTGAAGCAGCAGAGTCCTTTGTATCCCTGTCAGGACGTTGTAGCAACTTCTTCGCTTGGACCTTCTCCCCCTTGGAGTCCTTGTCCGACTTGTGTTTAGATTTGCTGGACTCCTTCGCCTTGTTGGCCTTCTTTTCTCGAATGTATTGCACCAAAGGTGTAACTGTCACCGTTTCCTTCTTATCCTCACCATCAGCGCCAGAATCGACAGGAGGCGGTTTGGCAAGTGGCTGCGTGAGGCTCTCGAGGAAGGCGATAAACTCGGGGTCCTGATCGATGGTTCCTTGACGGGCATCTTTGCGCGACCGATTTCCGGCAATCTTGGCATAAGGTGCGAATTCCAGAGACGGGGGTCCCAGAAGGACAGGGTCGTTCGAGGTATTACGGGCGTCTATGAAGGACGTTTGACGGACTTTGTTCGAGAGCGGGATGGTGTGGTCGCTGGACATGACATGGATATACGCACGCGAGGGTCGAGAAGGTTTGGCCGGACTATACAGCATACTGTTAGCGGAAGACTTCACAGAATGCAATGCTGGCTTACTCTTTAGAGACCTTTCCTGGCTTGTATTGGAACCAGTCGACCTTCCCACCGCCAACCCTCCATTCTGAGCCCAACGCTGTCTCGAATTCCGCTTGTGTTAGCCCGGGTGGGAGACGTCTGACGAGAAGCTTCAATCGGGGCGCAGCTGGCTTAGGAGCCTTCTTTGGTGCCGCAGAGGCATTCTTCTGAGTGGCAGCTGCGGGGATCTGGAGAACACCTCCTGTAGACTTGCCCGCAGGGATCTGCGTCATGATCGATAGGTTAATGTGTTGGGACTTCCGCCCCAACTAGAGGATGGGAGTATCGCTGAGGGAGTGGGATGAGAATGTTGTACTGAAACGACAGATATATAGTACGGTGTAAGGTGAAAGAAAGCAGAAAGACTGTCACTCCGCAGCCGCAATCACATGTGGCGCTGTGCCTGAATGAGTGATGAAGCTGTTATCGTGCAGGAGATTCCGCCCGCACCACGTGACCGATCCCGGGAATTGGCGTGAGCATCTTCACTGACCCAAAGCCAACATCCCCTGCGGGGAAAGACCGCCGGCGCGCATTCCGCTAAGCAACCCGTGTGCTCTGGTGTATGCGAGCGACTTTCCTTGGAAAGACTAGTTTATTCATTACTCTACTTTTATTACTGCCTTTAATTGCACTGGTCCCACTTTGTTCACTCATACGCACAAGTTCATCATGGTGGACAGTAAGGTCCCTCAGCCGGGACCGGCCAAGTTGAAGCGCAATGCCGGCCCTGATGAGTGGCTGGAGGCCGCAAAGGACTGCAAATACCTCTCGGAGTCCCATATGAAACAGCTTTGTGAGATCGTCAAGGAGTTTATGATGGAAGGTGGGCTTTAGTTCGAGCAGGTGGCGACCGATTCACCAGAGACTGACGGGTCGCATTTTCCAGAGTCGAACATTCAGCCGGTCTCAACACCTGTGACCATCTGTGGAGATATTCACGGTCAATTTTACGATTTGTTAGAGCTGTTCCGGGTCTCTGGAGGCATGCCTGACGAACCTGACGTCGAGCCGCCTAAAACGTCGCCTTCCGTCATCACCTCGGAGGACATCGAACCCCCTTCCACCATTACCGATCCCAAGCTGCGCAAGAAATTGAGGAACTCCGGAAACTCGGATGATCTTGCAGATGAGACGGGCTCCAATAACAGCCAGCGCGGTCGGTCTTCCAGCGCAGGCTCGAATGAGGTTACATTGAATCGAAACTTTGTATTCCTTGGTGACTACGTGGACAGAGGGTACTTCAGTTTGGAGACCCTCACGTTACTGCTGTGCCTCAAGGCAAAGTGAGTTATACTTACTGGTTTGGGTGCACCGATTCTAACCGTATATGTAGGTATCCTGATCGGGTTACGCTGGTACGCGGTAACCACGAGTCTCGCCAGATCACTCAAGTCTACGGTTTCTACGAGGAGTGCTTTCAGAAGTATGGCAATGCGTCCGTATGGAAGGCTTGCTGCCAGGTTTTCGATTTCATGACATTGGGCGCCATCATCGACGGCAGGGTGCTCTGTGTGCACGGTGGACTGAGCCCAGAGATTAGAACACTGGATCAAGTGCGGGTGGTCGCGAGAGCCCAAGAGATTCCGCACGAAGGTGCTTTTTGTGACCTGGTCTGGTCTGACCCCGATGATGTGGAGACATGGGCAGTGAGTCCCAGAGGAGCTGGTACGTATTCGTCCATAAGATGTGCAGTTCTCTTTACTGACCTTTCTAGGCTGGCTGTTCGGAGACAAGGTTGCAGACGAGTTCTGCCATGTCAATGACCTGACCCTGATCGCCCGAGCCCATCAATTGGTCAACGAGGGTTACAAGTATCACTTCGCCAACCAAAACGTGGTCACCGTGTGGAGTGCTCCCAACTACTGCTACCGATGCGGCAACCTCGCCTCCGTGTGCGAGATCGACGACGATCTAAAACCGACGTTCAAGCTCTTCAGCGCGGTAAGTGACGATCAACGACATGTGCCGACGTCGCGGCCGGGCCGCAGTGAGTACTTCCTGTAAGATATCGCATGGATACGCTTTTTATTCTCTCGTCCGCTTGCATTTCGCAAGACATGAGGCGTTTACTGCACCGGCGCTGGCGTTGGGAGTGGATACAGATGGCGCCTACGCACTGTGGGTGAAGACGGGTTACGAGCATCATATATTACGATTTGGGACACAGTTAATGAGGGCACCTTTATGCATACTGGTACAGCTTGGTCCAGAGGGTTTGTTTAGTCGAACTATGACGAATCAGATGATTGTTATGAACATTGCTCCTTCCACTGTAGCTGAGGCCAGCGCCTTCCACACGTTGGTGGCCGTCTAGAAACTCACTATTGGGTCTCTGGCAATCAACATCGTACTTTATATCCTTGCTTCCAGAGGTATCATAGAAGTCATGGAACAATAAAAGCTCGGACAGAGTCCGATGGATCATGATGTAGCGCTTCGTCGACAAATGACCGAATATCATTTGTTAACATAGCTTTGACACAATGATCCAGGTATAACTAACACCCAAATTAGAGCCCTCCACAATCAAAACGTGGTACTTCGCAGTGAATCGTGATTTGTATCAAAGCTGCGAGTCTCGGCATCTCAACCATTTGCATACCTTCCCCAATTCGGCCTAGCGTCTTATACTCTGCCGGTCACTCCGAAGGCATGTCATGATCATAGTTGTTCATCCTCTCACTCTCAGACACCAACTTGCACGCCGGTATAATGTACTGCCACCGGTATCTCCGGACCCCGGATTGCGGAGAAGATGGTTACTGAATACACTGAAGATCATTGGTGCAGACGGTGCCCGAGGCACGGACACATGCCGCGCAGGTGCCGACCCCGGGATCGATTCCGGGGTAGTTCGGAATCGATCCCGGAGGCAATTGAAGTATGACCAGTCAGGCGCATTCCAACTCATCATATTTAGGATACTCTTCACCTTCTTTGACTGCCTCTTATAAAAAAAATCTAAACACAAAGAAGAATAACCCACAACATGACACAAAAAGTCGACGTTTTAATCTGTGGCAGCGGCTCCGCAGGTCTCTGCGCAGCCACCTGGCTCGCACGCTATGGCATAACCTGCAAAGTGCTTGAGCGGCGGGATGGCCCCATGACGATGGGCCAAGCAGACGGTGTGCAATGCCGTACGGTGGAAATCTTCGAGAGCTTCGGCATTGGCGAGGAGCTATTGCGCGAGTCGTACCATGTGGTGGAGGTCGTGTTTTGGGCCGATGATAGTGGCTCGGGAGTTATACGTCGCACGGGCAAGACAGCAGATACGCAGCCCGGATTGTCTCATCAGCCACATGTCATTCTAAACCAGGCGCGCATCAATGGGCTTCTCATTGACCTGATGAAGAAACATAACAACCAGGAGATCGATTACGGGTATACTGTCAAGGATGTTCGGGTTGATGAGAGTCAGCTTTCGGCGGGGCCGGAAGCTTATCCGGTTAAAGTCACGGCGGAGAAGGATGGGAAGGTGGAGAGTTTTGAGGCGAAGTATGCGTTGGTATGTTATCTTTTACTCTTTGAGAGGGTTATTGCTGATGTTATCAGGCATGTGATGGCGCACATAGTACGGTGCGCAAAGCGCTAGGATACAATATGATTGGAGATAGCACCGATGCTGTCTGGGGTGTCATGGACATGGTTCCACGAACGGACTTCCCCGATATTCGGAAGAAATCCAGCATCCGGTCCAAGGCAGGCAATTTGCTGATTATACCCCGAGAAGGAGACAGCTACAATCTGACCCGATTCTACATTGAGCTTCCGACTGGCACCAAGGCGAAGGATGTCAGATTGGAAGATCTTCAAAACGCCGCGAAGCGGATTTTTAGTCCGTACCAGATTGACTTTGTTGAGACGGTCTGGTGGTCTGCTTACGCCATCGGGCAGCGCCATGCTGATTTCTTCCACAAGGATTACCGTGTCTTTCTTGCGGGCGATGCCTGTCATACGCACTCGCCGAAGGCGGGCCAAGGCATGAACGTCAGCTTACAAGATGGTTACAATATGGGCTGGAAGCTTGCTTCAGTGCTAAAGGGCTTGGCGCATCCCTCATTGCTGGAGACGTATGTGCTTGAGCGGCAGAAGGTGGCTATTGATTTGATTAACTTTGATCGGTATTTCGCCAAGTTGTTCTCCTCTCAGGGGAGTGCAACACCCCAGGAGTTCCAAGAGGGATTTATCAAGTCTGGGAAATACACTGCAGGTTTGACGGCCAAGTATGATGAATCGCCTATTACTTCCGATACGGGCGTGTCGACCGAACTTGCCACGAACGTTGTGGTTGGAATGAGGTTGCCTAGTGCGCAGGTTGTGCGATTCTGTGACGCCAAACCGCTGCAGCTTGCTGCATCGCTCAAGTCCGATGGCCGCTGGAGGGTGATGGCGTTTGTGGGCGATCTCAGCGTGTCACAGAATATGGCCGCACTGCAAGCTGTACGTTAGAGGGATAATCCTTGCCAGGATGAAGCAGTATACTGACCGAGTACAGATTGGAGAGTATCTCGGCTCCGAGGACAGCCCTCTTCAGAGATTCCGCTCGAGAAGTGGCGAACCTGACAGCCTTATCGAGCCAATTCTCGTGGCACATGGTAAACGGCATGGCGTCGAGCTGGAACAGATCCCGCAGAGCTTCTATCCATTCACGGGGAAGAACCATATCAGAGGTGAGTTAAATGCCTCGGAAAAAAAGATCAATCTAACCGGGATGTAGATCTTCACAAAATATTCTTTGATGACGAGAGCTACAACAGAGGTCATGGACACCTTTACGAGCATCTCGGTATCAGCCCTGACAAGGGTGCTATCGTCATTGTCCGTCCAGATCAATGTAAGCCTCCGTCGTAACTAGCCTTGGAATGATCTACTGACAAACTTTAGACGTATCTGCTGTGTTCAGTCTGGATAAATATAGACGAATCGGCCAATTCTTTGAGGGATTTCTGATCTCGCAGGAGAGGCCGGAGTCGTTGACGGGAAGCAAGCTGTAGCCGCTGTACGCAGAACGCGCGTGCTCTGATGATGAGCCTCAGAATCGGCGTGCTTATTGTATAGAAGCGAGGGAGAGGGAGATACAGGCAAGGATAACCTGCCATCAAGTGGGGTTGGATATATCAGCTGGATGCTTTGAAAGCTATTTAAGCAGCATGACGACACCTCAATATCTATACAGCATAGACAGCTTCAAAATCTCATTATTCATTATCAACATACTGCAAAGCAAGATGGCTCCCCATGTTCTCGAGGGCAATGGCAAGGCTATTGAGCCAACATTCAAGTCAATTCCTGCAAAGGATGTGCCAGTGGCCACTATCGAGTCTCCCAGCACTGTACAGAACCTAGCCCAGCTCCTAGCCAAAGCAGCCAGCTCCAAAGCTGGACTCACCTTCTACACGCCTGGAGCAGAAGCCTCGCGTGTTTCGTACTCCGACCTTCAGAGCAAAGCCACGGAGAAAGCTCGGCTCTTAGGCCAAATCGATGGCATCTCCGCATCCTCTATTATCCTGCTGCACTTTGAGAACCATCACGACACAATCCTATGGTTCTGGGCTGCCACTCTTGCAGGCTTCCTTCCTGCCATTTCAACCCCCTTTGTGCATGATCCCGCGCAGCGCCTGAAGCATCTGCGTCACCTTAAAACGCTGCTGCAGGATCCCGTTGTCCTTACTACGGAGCGGCTTGTCCCGGACTTTCTGGACACTGATGAGCTTCGCGTGCTTCCAGTCGAAGTGCTCGACAAAGCTGCTAACTCCAATGGCATATTTGACACTTTGCCACTCTGCGGAGCCGAGAAGCAAGCACAAGACCCAGCAGTCCTCATGTTGACGTCTGGAAGTACTGGAAGCGCCAAGGCGGTTCCACTCCGTCATGGACAGCTTCTCACGGCACTGCAGGGCAAGAAAGATCACCATGGAACCGGACCTGGGGATGTATTTCTCACCTGGGTTGGATTGGACCATGTTGCTAGTCTTTGCGAGATTCATTTGCATGCAAGTATGTTCTTCACTTCTACCTTTATAACATAATAGCAGCTAACAAATCCACAGTGAGTCTGGGCGCCGACCAAGTGCTTATCCCAGCCTCGGAGCTGCTTCGCGATCCAATACGCTTCATCCAGCTGCTTGATTCTCACAAAATCGCCTACACATTCGCGCCCAATTTCTTCTTGACGCAGGTGCGGGACGCTCTCGCTGCCAACCCAACCTTCCAAGCGGATCTGTCTCGTCTCAAGAGCATCAACTCGGGTGGCGAGGCCAATGTCGTCGCCACTATCGACGGGCTGACTCGTGAACTGCGTCGATTTAACATCCAGCGCGAGGTGATTAGTCCTGGCTTTGGGATGACAGAGACATGTGCCGGATGCGTGCATGCACGGGCATCACCGTCCTACGATCTATCCAAAGGCCTCGAATTTGCCTGTCTCGGACCATGCACTCCTGGCATCAAGATGCGCGTGATGCGCCCCACGGCTAGATATGAGCCTGCTGCGCCTGGTGAAGTTGGCGAGCTTCAACTGTCTGGCCCTGCTGTGTTCACAGGATACTTCAATAACCCGGAGGCCACAGCTGCCGCGTTCACAGAGGACGGGTGGTTCATCACGGGAGATCTCGCCTGGCTGGATGACTCTGGATATCTGAACCTAGCAGGGCGGACTAGAGACACTATTATCGTGAACGGAGTCAAATGGAGTGCCACAGAGATCGAAGTGGCCATCGAAGAAGAGAACATCCCAGGAGTTGTGCCCTCGTATACCGTGGCCTTTCCTTGTCGTGCTCCAGGCTCCGCTAGCGAGGATATCGCCATTGTCTACTCCCCTGCTTATGCTGCTGACGACGCCGCAACGCGCTTTGAGACTGCCACCGCCATAGCAAAGACCGTTGCACTCCTAACGGGGCGGAAACCCGCCCATATAATCCCGTTGCCGGGGAAGATGCTAGACAAGTCTTCGCTGGGCAAGATCTCACGGATCAAGGTGCGGACCGCATTCGAAAAGGGCG